TCGAGGCGCGCGCGAGCCTGCGGCTCGATTTGAAATCGAAGCGGTCGCCAGCAGACCCAGAACAGGAAGTGACCTGGTTTCTTGCGCCTTTGCAGGATACCACGCTTCGACTCGGTTGCAAACGAATCCAGGATTTTTCGCTCGAATCTCGGCCAAAAGGATTTCGTCCTTTCGCTACTATTTTCTTTTGCGAGCAAACTGTACGAAATAGAAAAGTTAACGAGCTACTTCGTGGATGAGAATTACCAGCGATAGACATCCGAAAAAAGAATAATCCAAGTTTCTCCAAATTTTCCTTTTCATTACGGTTTACGGTTTACGCGACTGATCGTAAGAAGAGCAGATACCCTTAAAAAATATATTTTTCGTGCACCGTAGGAATATCGTCGTTTCTAAGTGGTTTCGGTAGGAAAGAGGCGGAAGAGAAGAAAGAGAGAAGGAAAATCGCGCTGACTCGGCTATCGGAAACGCCTCAGGTGGATCAGCCTTGATCCTGTTTGCCGGCTGGTGAGCCAGGAACGCGTGAAAGTGGTACCGTGACCTTTCCGGTGTTGCACTTGGTACCGCTTCGGCGTTGACCTTAGCACGAGTTTCGGTATTCTCTGGCCTCGCGAAAGCACGAGCCACGCGAAAAATAAACGCGGGTCATGATTGTGCTCACGTGTCGCGCACGATCGGCAAGGTCGTTAGCATGTGGAACGAGTTTTTAGCAACCGTGACAAGGCGTCGACGAATTCGATTTTCGCATTGACTCGCGTTCTATCCGACCGATTCGTTTTCCGAGCAGACTCCGCGGCCTGCCGCGACGCCGAGCCGCGAGTACGCCGAGCCGCGAGTTCGGTAGAAAGGAAACGGGGTACGGTTGCGTGTGTTGTGGATTTAAATTCGTTAATCGCGTGCTCGAAGGTTCCAGACGAGGATTCGTCGCGTTACGTAAGCTCGATTAATTCCGAACGAACCATGGACCGATTAGTTTGCACGGCAAACGGGTTGTCCCGACTGGACGTCTAATTATTTGCCGCGTAAATTAATCGCTTCGTTTTTCGACCGTTCGTTAAATTCGATCGTGAGATTGTCTAGGTTGGTCCAACGAACATTCGAAGTTTCGGTCGTTGAATACCGAAAGTTCGAATCGACGAAAGACGCAAGGAAAACGAGTCGGAAAAGAAAGTTTCTTACAATTTTCTTTGTTCCCGCCGAAGAGCAGATGATATCTGACGAAGTTGGGCCTGGAATCGAAGTGGTGTCCTTTGGTGATCAGCACTTCTCTGATGTTCTCCAAACCGTTCACGACCACACAGGGCATGGAGCCCATCCTGAGCTTGATCACCTGGCAGTCGTATTCCTTAACGAGGTCACCGAAAACTTTGTATGGCACGTTGTACCGTCCCAGGATATGAAGGGAGCCCAAAATCGGCCATGGTTTCGGTCCAGGCGGTTCCGGCAATAATTGACTATCGTCGTCGAGAATAGAAACCTGCTTGGAGGTTTTCTTGGAGCTCAGATAATCCAAGAGGATCAGAGCTAATGCCAGTAAAGTGACGGCGAGCAGGAAGCACGTGGTGGCTGTCAAGGGGATCATCTTCGGCGTTGTTTCTCGTCGGCGCACTCACAACGTTCGGGCACAAGTGGACACAAATGATCGTGTACGCGGTATCCCGACCTACGGTAGTCCGTGTCGCGGGGAGCGAGAAAAAGCGTTAGCGAGAAAAGAGGCGCGTACCGATCGTTTTCGATCGATTTTCGACGCGTGCTCTTCGAATAGGAAGCTCGCTCGAAAATACGATCACTTTCTCCCGGCGGGTTCGTGTGTCGAAGAAATGGCAGCAAGCGCGGTGTAGCTGGTGATCGGGCGACGCGAACGACTCTAAACCCTGTGTTGTCGGTGTTGCTGTGTCGCGATCTCGTGAACGAAAAAGATGTGTCGTGTATCTGTGTCGGTAGATCGGTTCGTTGGTCCGTCTGTGAACGGTCTGCCGATCTGGCTCGGTCTGTGGGGATAGGATGGTTGGCCGGCTATCTTATACGCCGAGCCGCGAGTTCGGTAGAAAGGAAACGGGGTACGGTTGCGTGTGTTGTGGATTTAAATTCGTTAATCGCGTGCTCGAAGGTTCCAGACGAGGATTCGTCGCGTTACGTAAGCTCGATTAATTCCGAACGAACCATGGACCGATTAGTTTGCACGGCAAACGGGTTGTCCCGACTGGACGTCTAATTATTTGCCGCGTAAATTAATCGCTTCGTTTTTCGACCGTTCGTTAAATTCGATCGTGAGATTGTCTAGGTTGGTCCAACGAACATTCGAAGTTTCGGTCGTTGAATACCGAAAGTTCGAATCGACGAAAGACGCAAGGAAAACGAGTCGGAAAAGAAAGTTTCTTACAATTTTCTTTGTTCCCGCCGAAGAGCAGATGATATCTGACGAAGTTGGGCCTGGAATCGAAGTGGTGTCCTTTGGTGATCAGCACTTCTCTGATGTTCTCCAAACCGTTCACGACCACACAGGGCATGGAGCCCATCCTGAGCTTGATCACCTGGCAGTCGTATTCCTTAACGAGGTCACCGAAAACTTTGTATGGCACGTTGTACCGTCCCAGGATATGAAGGGAGCCCAAAATCGGCCATGGTTTCGGTCCAGGCGGTTCCGGCAATAATTGACTATCGTCGTCGAGAATAGAAACCTGCTTGGAGGTTTTCTTGGAGCTCAGATAATCCAAGAGGATCAGAGCTAATGCCAGTAAAGTGACGGCGAGCAGGAAGCACGTGGTGGCTGTCAAGGGGATCATCTTCGGCGTTGTTTCTCGTCGGCGCACTCACAACGTTCGGGCACAAGTGGACACAAATGATCGTGTACGCGGTATCCCGACCTACGGTAGTCCGTGTCGCGGGGAGCGAGAAAAAGCGTTAGCGAGAAAAGAGGCGCGTACCGATCGTTTTCGATCGATTTTCGACGCGTGCTCTTCGAATAGGAAGCTCGCTCGAAAATACGATCACTTTCTCCCGGCGGGTTCGTGTGTCGAAGAAATGGCAGCAAGCGCGGTGTAGCTGGTGATCGGGCGACGCGAACGACTCTAAACCCTGTGTTGTCGGTGTTGCTGTGTCGCGATCTCGTGAACGAAAAAGATGTGTCGTGTATCTGTGTCGGTAGATCGGTTCGTTGGTCCGTCTGTGAACGGTCTGCCGATCTGGCTCGGTCTGTGGGGATAGGATGGTTGGCCGGCTATCTTATATAGCGGCGTAATGTAGTCAGCACATTTGCGTCGCCTGTGCGCCTCAACCCCATACATATGGATTCGTTGCGACGAGGGCAGAAGAGGGAGGAGGTGGTGCTCTCTGTCGCTCGTTCTCCGTGGTAAGTGTATACAACCGGGTGTGTTGCTGGTGGCTCGGTTGCTGGTCCCCGGCGTTGGTGTTGACGGTGTTGTTGCTGGTGGTGCCGGTGCCGGCTGCCGTTGGTGCTGGTGTTGCTGGTGCTGCTACTGTTGGTAGGGAGACGAATTTCAAGAAAGCACCGAGAGAACCAACTCGCGTCCAGCAGCGTGTGGAACGGGAGAGCCCGCAGAAGAAGAAGAAGAAGGGCTGGAAAGGTGGAGGGAGCGGACGGAAGGATGATAGAAGGTATGGAAAGGAGGAAGGAGGGAGTGACGGAAAGGTGAAGGGGCTGGAGAAGCACGGGGATCGCCACGTTCAACAGAGTTACACACGGACGAGGTACGGGGAGGAGGTTGGCCGAGCACGAAGCACCAAGCGAGAGTGGGGTCCAAGTAGGGCCCAAGCCGAGCCAGACTGGGCAACGAAGGGACGCTTCTTGCCCTTGACTTCTCTGCTTAAGGTGCCATCGGGTTTTCTGGCAGCAAGGTGGTGAGAGCCTCCAGTCCAACGAGCACCTCGTGAGACCGGCTACGCCAGCCTCCCGTCCAGACCGCGCTTTATTCCGTTCTTATTTCGATGTACGAGACGTTCAGCGATTCGGACGGCTGTCGCGGTTACGCCATTGCGCTCGGAATGGCCCTTTCGAACAGCCACCCGAAAATCCGCCGTTTTCAGCTGGGACCGACGCTCGCCCCGCGCTCTCTTCTCTCTTTTTCGCCTCGTATATAACGCGGGACCCTTTAACGACCAACGCGAAAAACCTCCTTACCACGGAATTTGCCCGACCGGAAAACACCGCTGAGCTTTCGCCTTCGATTTCTTCCACGATCGATCCTTTGCAATATCTTCTCCTCCGTTTATCGTGCTTTTCGAATAAAAACTTTTCGCGTCCGTCGAGCATCCGGTGAAACGTAATAAAAAATACCTTTCGAAAGTTTTGCTTTCGTTCTCTTTCGTAGTGACGCGTGAATCGGACACCTTGCGTACGTACGCGGATTTCGCGTTATCGCCGGACACTTTTCTGCTACTTTCGATCGTGAAAATCAATCGCTTTTTAATCGGAAATCTTCTTCTGCAGAAAACTGAATGTAGGTTACACAACCAACGCCGTTCGTTGTTTTTTTCGCGTGATGCAACAACGGAATCGAAATTAAAACTGTAAATGACATTCGTCACGTTACTACTATACGTACACTTGTCGCGTATCTTCTTTCTTTCTTTCGGAAAAAAATAATGCAAAGCTCTCTTGTCGAATCGAAGAGAATTTCGGAGGGAACATTTTCGCGATCGACAATTCGTTTCGATAAATCGTAACGGTGTACCGTAGTTCCAGTGAAAAATTATAGCGTCTGTGTGTCTGTTAAAAATTAGACTGATTTGCAATGGGCCAGGATATCGGATTCAATCGCCAGCCGGCTGAATCGATCAGCTGAATTATTGCAAACGCGTGTACACCTCGTTACAATGTCTACGAATCGAATTTCGCATAAGAACATTTAGACATTTCATTATATAAACAACTTTTTCGCTTTTGCAATATGTCTTCTAGTTCGATTCGTGAACCGATTGTCCTTTGCATTTAATAAATTTAATTTTTATTCGTTTTAGATTTAAGGATAATTAAATTTATGTTTGATTTGGCAATTGCCACTTTGTGATTATATTTGCGCTTTTCATATGCTTTCAACAGTTCTCGGTTACGCGATAAGCATCGAAGTCGATTCGATAAGCTGGAACGGTAAAAATTAGCCCGTATAGAATAAGCAATCGTTTGGTGACATCGATAAAAATAACACGACAGTGTGTCGATCCCTTCGAGAAAAACAATTCGTGAAAATACGCGTTGTTCGTGCGTCAACGTTCTACGCGACGATCATAGTAGGTCAGTTCGGTAGAATCGAAGCGAAGTCGGACGTAATTACTTTCGACGTCGAATCTACCCGGTCCACTTTACGGCTCGAGAAGAATGTTCGAAGCAACATGTACATGCGTAAGCTTTTCTCCAATAAAATTACAGCAAAAGAATGAAAATAATTCGATGGGAAATATCCGAAAACTGTGGATGCAAGAATAGCCTAAAAGAAGAAGAAAAAAAGAAACGAGAAACGAGAGAGCAGAATCGAGCGTCTTTGGTATCCCTGAATGAGGAGTTAGCCCTGAAAGCTCGGATAAGAGAAGAAGGACATCGCGTTATCGGTGACGATGGAGGAAGCACGCGACGAAGAGTACACTTCGAATTCGTTTGAATCGATGAATAAAACATGAGCAAAGCTAGTGGTGTGTTGGGTATATGTGTGACTTCTCCCACTCCTGGGACCGATTCTCCCCCACCCTTTTGTCACGGGACAACCTTTTTTTTTCCCCTCTCGGCCGCTGCGACAGTAGGAGATTGCTTCATCCGTATCGAGAGGTATTATCGAGCGTCGATTTCTGGGAAGCTAGCGGTACCGGCCTCTGGCCGCCAGCTCGAAATCAGCTTAGAGAGGAGGCGCATAACGGGAAAGCTCTCGTCTCCGTCGATTCTTCTGTACGAATCCAAGCTCGTATTTTTCTTTCTCCCTTTTTTTCATCGAGAACCGCGAAATTTTTCATTTCGCTTTCGATCGAACGTGCCAGACTTCTTCCCGCAAGCTTCGTCCGAGATCCTTCGTTCTATCACTTTCTTAATTCTCGATGACTAACGTTTCGGCCCGTGCAAATTTCATAATAATCCTCGCTACTCTTCTACCCATTGTCTAAACGATTTCGATAACTACTCCGATTAAAATGTCCGATGTTGCCGAAGAAGACGCTTTTGTCGAAGGTAATTTGGTAGGAAGGATTTTAGGGATAAAATGATAGGTCGAAATTTTCAAACGATAATACGGACGAAAAGGAAGATGGTCCGAAATCGATGGACGTTGTTAGTTGCACGCGAAATCAAATTGCACGTCGGTTATTATTTATCGAAATACCTGAAGTCACGCGAGCGGTAAATACTCGAGAATAAATACCGAGATTCGTGAATGTCTGCGAGACATCTCGCGATACTTCTGTTTCAGACAAGTGGCCCAATTAAAACGAAATAACCTATCAAAGCAGCGAACAGGTAGCGGACTTTCATCGATGGTTCTCAGTCGTTTCTATAAACTGTTATCAAGTAACAAAGTTACGATTATTCCTCTAATCAGATTATACTTATACGGGGGTTGTTTATCGAACAACCTTCGTACAATACGTTCGAAAGATCTTACGATATCGATCCATGTTTTGAACAGATCCTACGCTTTATCCTATAAGAAAAATTTTGACGGAAGATCGAAGGATTTCTCTCTGGTGGATGAATCGAAAGGGTAGGTTCGTAGAAAACGATCGTGTTTTCTCGCGATCCCGTCTCGATCTTGATCCTACACTTACGAAGCACCACCTTGGGCTCGCGGAATTTCAAGATCGCTGAGCGTCCGCGAAAAGCGAGTCGATGACGAGCAGAGGCGGGTCGAGAGGTGAGACGGATCGATTCGATTTGTTCGATGGTTATCGGGAACCGGCCAGACTCGACGAAGGTCTCGGTCTCGACCAAAATCAAGGCTCTGCTTCGTTTAAAGAACGAAACGATACCGGATGTCTTGGACTTTATCCTTACGCCTTGCAGCGCTAATAACAGCTTTTATTTTCGCTCGTAACAGTTTCTCGTACCCTTCGTCGTCAGAAATATCATCGAAAAAGATTCTGCTATTTGGATAATAGTAATGGACGCTAAGACAAACTGTTTCTAGAAAGATGTATCTTTTCTCTGTTGTTCGTATAGTTTGGCAAAAAGACGCAAGAAAGTATCGGGATCGATTGTTCTAGCGGGAAGAGTGAATTGGAAGAAAGTGAGAGAAGCAAGTTGGCTCGGTGACACACTTTTCTGACAGTCCACCGGTAACAATGTCCGGATCGCGACAACGTAATTCAATTTTTTTCCGTCGATCGAAAAGAAAGAAAATATGTATTTCTGATCAGCAGAAATGTCCACGCATGTTCGGAGGTAGGGAAACGTTTGACCAAGAGGGGAACTCGTGTATTTATTTTTGGAAGATTTCGCCGATGGTACCACGGATGTTGCCACAGATAGATCGTCGTTATAAAAAGTCTGCTTGATATTCGTATTCGTTGACGCGAAGGTGAACAGTGACGAAGATCAAGGTTGCACGGATTAGCAATGAATAAAACCGTCGGACGACGGTCTTCTGCTTCGCGTTAGACTGTGAAGGTGCTCTCGTCCTTTTTTCAAGGTTCTTCGAACACTAAAAATTAATTTTACACCTTTCAAGCGCTTAGAAACTCCTTGTCAAGTTATAACCGGCTTCATGAATATTTATTTCGCAAAAGTTTCTAAGTATAGCTGAATTAACGTTAATAAAAAAAGTCAAACGCGTCCTGCCGATTTAAGAAATTTAACGCTTCGACGGCCAAATATTTCACAGAATTAATGGACCTTGTAAACGTATATTTCGTTTCGTAGCGGAGAACAAATAACCGATAGAATTACCTCTGAGAGCTTTCGAAGTGTGCGCTCAAAAATGACTGGTGTTCGGATTGGAATTGCTAACGCAAAAACGTAACGAATAGGCGATTCATTGATAGAAACCGAAACGAGTCGCGATAAACGAAGATTCTGGAATGACAGAGAGAAACCGAAAAGCTCAGGAATATTCCGCTGTCCTGGATAGAGGCTGGTTCCGGCTATGGGGTTACGAGTTATGTAAGAAATTATTGAAAATGTAACGGCCTGCCCCCCCTCGGTTGCTCTTTATCCCTTCTCTCCTGCATCGTGAAAGAGCTCGTCCCGGTGACGTTGATCTGCATGTAGCGGTCGTGCATTACGCTCTAACGGTCAGAGGCGATTCATACATAAGTGCATGCAGCTAGTCGACTTATTTGTTATAAGTACCCGTATATTTCAACGTGTTCTCGATTCTATCGATTTTTAACAACGCGATTCACCGGCAAAAATCTTACTTTCGTCTCATTCAATGACGCGATCGGAATGACGTACGAACGGGAAGGAAATTCTTTAGCGCATTTTCTTTCCGGTGCTTTTCAAGCACGATTCCGAGCTGTTAGAATGCCTCGAAACTTTCCATAACAACACTGCGAAAGTTTCGAATCGCTTCTACAAACGTCCATTTCCGAAAGGTTAAACTTTATACTTTGGAGCAACTAGTAAGAGATTTGCAAGCAATTGTTAGAAAATGATTCGATGCAAGCGTATACATAACGTGGCTGAACGAACGGGAACAGAGGCTGATTAAACGGTGGAAAATTCTTGGCCGCTCGTAAAATTCGCGACGGATACGTTTACGAAGGCAGAATCGATCGTTACCGATTCCCTGGGACACGTCTTTATGCGAATCGATGAATCGTTACAGGTACGCGAGCCATGCTAATGTCGATCGAAGGTAAAAGTTTTTTCTGTCTCGCGACCGGGATACAGGAAGTCTTCCATGTTTCACGGCGCGTGGAATTGGGGCGTTGCATAAGACGGCGCCGAAGTTGTATCGACCGATCACGCTTGCACCGATAAATCGATCATCGAGATCTAACGAGGTTGCCGCGAGTACCACTCCCTTCAAATTACATTACGTCCCTGATGACGGATGAACAAGCTACTTAAGTTAAGTACCAGTGAAAATCACCGTACGCGATACAACGTAATTCTAATAATTCGGAACGCGATCGATCCCAGGCGGAAGAATCGAACGAGCGCATAAGATCGAGGTGGAGGAGCGAATCGTTTCGTTTCTTTGGTTCATAATGGACGAGATGCAAAGGTATTTGGTTCTAGAACAAAAATTAGCATCGTTCGTAACGGAGCCTCGAGTTTGCCTCGCCGCTCACAGGGAATCGGTAAAATTGAGAGCAAGAAAAAGTGACAACGGTAAAAAGTAGTCCATGCATCTTTTGCTTCAAGTGCATGCAACATCCCCACTTTACTACCGCATCGTCGACCAGTTTTAAGGATGCGATCCTGCTGATTCATCATACGATCGACACGCTTTAATATCGAACGATTTCAAACCAACTGGAATCGAAGTTATTTTTTCATTCTTACCTTTATCTCCTGTCTTTATTAGAAATCCGTCTTCTTGTTATTTTTCTATCGAGATGCGCTTGAAGAGCGAGTACCAACGAGTACTCGGTGTTTGGAAAATGAGCTTTAACAATAAACAGTAATGATAAACAATAAACAGTAGAATAAGTAGTTCGTTCCAAGTTTAATCAGACCGCGATATTTGCAAGATACATACGCAGAGAAACGACTTGAAAATAAATTTGTTCCAAGTATGTCGATAAAAAAAGTACGAGACCGTCGAGCATTATACATTTGTCGCATCGACGAGCGAATTAGAGCGATGTCAGGTGGAAGGAGAAAAGGGGGAAGCGAAGAGGGAGAGAGAGACAGAGAGAGCGAGAAAGGGCGAGAAAGAGAGCACGGAGGAGCTGGTGTTGCACCTGCGTCACCCACCACGTGGGGTACCACGGTACCCCGGCCCCGATTACGACACTCTTCCGTGTCGATTTATCTCGAAGCCGGCCGGCCGGCTATCCAACAGAGCGACAGAAACGACAAACCAAAGAGAAGAGCTTCGTAACCGGTTTTCAGGGCCTCGTTCGTTTGAATGTCGCGCCGTATAATTTCACCCGGGGACGAACTTTCGCGACGAGCATCCAATTACTCCCGGCCGCTCGATAAAAGGGAAATTAGCTTGGGTCAGTTTGGTACCATTCGAACAGCTTCTTCGTCGAAAATCGAAAGTACCAGCTCGCGTAACGAATACCGATTCTTTCCGTATCTAACGTTTCGTTGATTCGACCATCTTTCGGTATTAACGTGCGGTGCCGTGCATTGTAGAAATAAAAAAAGAAATAAGATCTATGGATAAACGTAGGATATCTCTCTGTTGAGCATCGTCGGAGGTAGGCAGCAGCGTTCTAATCACGCGGCACTCCGTGCCACGAGTTCGAACGACCACAGCGGCGAGACTTGGCTAAGAAATACGCGTTTCGTAAGCACCTTTCGTCGTTGAAAATTGAACGATCGCGTTAGGGTTATGGAATCGCGGTGCTTTCTAAGTCAGGCGGCTCTTTGACGGCAGCCGTGTTCACGTGGATTTGCGTCAAGGTAGGCGAGTCTGGCTCCGGAACCTAGGACAAGAAAGCAGTGCTCGTCTATCGACCAATCCGAGGTCACGACCAAGTACTTGGACTAAGCTAGTCGGCCGTTTACTATCCACCGGATCAACGAGAAGCGCTAGGAGATCCACTAGACCCGTTCAGGTTAGACTAGTCCCACCGGTAGCCAGTTCGAACGTCGAAACTCGTCGTGGTCTGTTCGGCTCGTTAACGATGAACTTTGATGTATATCGTATGAAACCCCGTTTCAAGGTAATCGTGGCCCTTTTTGTAAAACCAAGGCCGGGTAAAAATAGCGACCACTTAGCCGGCTTATGCGTCAAGATAAGTCAGCTACGCGTGTCGTAAGAACGATTTTCGAGGATAACACCGGCCGTCGATGTTTCGCTCGAAATCTCTATTTACCCGTCGAACGAGCGAGTCAAACGGTCCGGTGGAATCGAACTTTAGCAAGAGGGACTCTCGTGGACCAGAATCGAACCGGTCCAGGTCATTTGTCATTTTCACGCGCGAAGCTCCACCGAGCGTCGAATGAGTCCCGAGGACTCGAGGAACGAGGACCAAAAAACACTGACAGACTGGAAGGAACCGGAGAAAAAAGACGGAAACGATACAAATGTATTCGCTGGACGGCTACCCGCTGATTTTGATGCAGCGACGCTCGATTTGGATTTCAAATCGTTGGCCCGGGTGCATCTGCCTAACTTTCGGCGGTCTAGCCACTGCCCTCTTCCCGATCGCGCGCTGCATCCGACAAAATATGCAAAATAGCCTGACTCGGATTTCGATTTCGATTTCGATTTCGATTCGTCGAAACGTTTCCATTCGCGAATACCGCAAACGCGACGCATCGAACTTGCAAAATTCGTCAAACGCGTTTTACGAACGCTGTATCGTATAATACGCTCGTTTTTGGCTTCTCCTTTTTTCCTCGTTTTAACAAACTGCCAGATTCGCTATCGAACAGAAACGATTAACGGGCTTATCAATTTTTAGTCGCAGATTCTTTCGACAGGTACCGCAGAGCCATCGTGGAGTGCCACCTTCTGGAGGAAGGTCGATTCGCTTTCTCTCGAAAAATAATTTTAAATAAATTAACGTTTTTATCGAAAGCTTTCTAGTTCCGAGATAAATTTAGAACGATTTGAGAAAATGAGCGAAAAAATAGAAACGAAAGAAGGTAGGAAGCGACCTCGTTAAACCGATAACTGTTGTTCGGGTTTTTTCGCGAAAAAGCGAGTCTCGAACTCGTTCTTGACTCGATATAAACCTTCGCTGCTTAACCCGTATTCCAATTACATCTGGACGCGTAATCAGGCGAGTTGCAGTTGGACTGCATATCTCTTTGACAAAAATCACGGCACCCAGATACTACGGTTTAGCCGAGATCGAGTTAACTACGTGGCCGGAGCTATGCTATAATCACTACTGCCAACTCCGCAGAACATATACGCTGTGCCGATTAAATTATGCATTAGGTAAGTGTTACTCCGGAGAAAACTCAATTAAGCGTTCGCGTTCCGCTTTGCGATCACTTTTCCTTGAAGAAAGCGATTTCGTTTCTTTCCTTTCTTCCCCTTTTATTTTTTCTTTTTCTCCTTCGTGAACAAACGAAACGTTTCATCGACAAAATACCGAAAATGGTTTCTGCGTTTCGCTCAAGGATTGTTCGTATTAGAAAGATCGACTCGATCCCAACTCGAATACCTAGCAAAATCGAAGGACAAACGCGTTTCCTATGGAGATAGAAATCGTCGATATGCAACGAAATGTTGAACAGGCTGTCGAAAAGCGCGCACAGGAGCGCGTTGGTACGCCTACGATAGATCGATAGTGCGCGCGTATCAAAATGCACATAAATCCAGCCGTGATCCTGTTGCGCGGGCGGCTGACTCGGAATCGCAGGATCAAATCGTATCGTAGATATCCGGAAACGCACGAGCCTGTTTCGAATTTCAACCGATCGATCTGACCTGGCTTTGACCTGGTAAAAAGAGAAGAAACAAAGGAAAGCGGACGCGTGTGGACGATTTGATCGGGTGATCCTGTGGCTTACTTTCAAAGGATCTTTGCGATTCCGATTTCGCGCGGTGATTCTGGAATTCTCCGGTCACTTCGACACGTGGACTACTCAATTTTTCACCGTTTTACTTTCATTTCGAATCCTTCTCTTCACGAAAAATCTATCTTACTACAGATATCGCGGTTTTACTTTCCGATAATATACTCTTACAAATTGGAAATATTTTTTCCAAAGCCGACAGAAAAAGATGCGTTAGTTTTTTTCTCGAAAGAATGTACGAAGATCGATGTTTTTCGAGCCGTTTCAAGTGTACGAGTTAAAAGTAACGAACGAAGGATAGCCGATCAGAGATTACGTTCGTACAGAACGGACGTCGATCGCCTTAAGGGGAAGAAGGACTTTTATTTTCCCTGTCGAGAGGGATTCTTGAAGCACTAGTGTGTTTAGAATGCTGGGGTATCTGCTAGCTAAATGCGCTGACTAGGAATCCGGTCTCTAAGCAGCATTGCTATTGCCTAGAGACGTACTAAAACCTGTAAGCGCAGGTACCAGCGCCTAGACCCTACGATAGTCTTACCACAGAGTCACCTATCGACTTCTTCTATTACTCGCACACGCGCGCACGCACATGCACGCAGAGACACAAACATATAGACGTTTCTAAGCAACCCATTCGTGATTGCAAGCGAAATCAACGCTTAGTTTCTCTATCGTGGATGATGGAAACTTGCTTGGACAGTAACAGGCAAAATCTCGTCGATGCTGACCGAAGGTACGCTTGACTATTACGTTTAATTATTGCAACCTTTAATTGCACAACGGTGACTGTTAGGATAACCGCGATGCATCTTTTCATTATTAGTAGTAATTTGGGTGTTCGCCATTCGAGTATCTGCGAATAAGTTGTTGAAAATTCATTAGAGAAGCGAGCGAGGCGTGCACGTATCAGAGCCGAAAGTTAATTTTCCTAGAAGACATTCTCTAGAACGAAGAAGGAATCCTCTATTACGATTCGATGCACTCTGATTACCCGAACAGAGAGGGAAGGAAAGCGATGATGTAACGAATGACGTAGAAAACAAGGGGTCGAGGATCCTCTGAAAATGAGGTTCAACGAACCGCAACTAGTTCACTTCTTCCTACAAATGGTAAGGTATTCCTATGACGTCGATCACGTCGGACACGATGCATTTACCAAATCCTTCTCCATCTCGTTAACCTTTCTGATGACGTAGCTGGAGAACAAACGACGCGATAAAACGGGTCTCCATTAGTAATCGAACGATGCCAACAAGCATCTATGACCAAGAGTTCAACGGACTATCGATTTTGTTCGTGTACGAACTACGAATCATCTTTGTCCGGTCGATCAAAAACAAATCGTGATTAATACGAACCGCGTATAAAAACATCCTTCGGTCACCGATACCGAACAGCGTTTTCTAGAAATTACTTCGTAAATTATTCTTCCGGGTTACCAACATTTTTCCTTTCCGTCGTGGTAAATACCGTCGGCCAGCAACGGTGTTCGAGACGATTCTCGGAATCGATCGAAATAAATTCTTCCAGCCTACGATCACGAATTCGACGATATTTTAAGAAACAGCTGATCACTCTGTAAGAACGTGAACTCGTTAAAATGTTGGGGATTTCGTGAGAAACCGTAGAAGGAACACGTATTTAAGGTTTTTACGGGGCGTCGTCGAAAGCGGGATACTTTCGGCATGACGCGGATGTTTTGGAATCGTTCGACGACACCTTTCCGAGCGTGGGTGGGCGCGAATATTTTCACCAGGAACTTCTTCGTGTCCTGGGTGGATCGAAATGCCGATTGCGTCATTAGTGTAACAGAGATTCCT